TTTAATTGTCAGACTGGGTCAGTTTATAGAACACAACAGTTTTATCAAATTGTTTTCATAATGTGCCAATACTATATACATAGTTTGATAAACCTGCATTCACATTTTAGATACTTGGTACTGGTATAACCTGGCTTTGATTGTCCTCTTCAAATACTTTAAAGCTATTAGGAAAAAAAATCTAAAATGGTTTTTCCAAGGGTTTGAACATTTTTGTTTTTAGGCCACTTTTCATGACCACATGATGCACGTATCTTGACTCACGAGCCTGCATAACCCATGTCTGCTAACACAGGAGGATTCCTTATGATGACAGGACCTACCTACCTTCATTTGTTTAGACTGAATTTATTCAGCACCTGTATTGTCCTAAGTTCCATTTTGATAATCACCAATATCTGAAGATAAGTTAAAACTATCTATGCTCAGGTTGGTATTAACACCCCTCAACTGGCCTTCTATCCATTATTTTAATTGAATGATCATACAAATCATGAAAAATCTCCAAAACTCATAATAAATGCCAATGTTATATGTTTTATTTTTTAATCAAGTAATTTTTTAAACCTTAAAATATCCATAATTGACAGAATAAGACATCAGGCATGATAAGAATATAAAATCCATGGTCTTCAGAAAGGCAAACAGTCCATCAAGATGACACGAGTGAAATGCCATTCCAAACATCTACTCTTTTTTTTGTCCTTTAAACACATACAGTTCAAGTGTTGGTTTTTTTTTTTTTTTAATTTTCACTTGTAAACAACATAAGCCAAAATGGACAACGAGGTAATCTAAATACTACACAGGATAATTTAAAAACACTAGTTAAACACCATATTAAAGACATACAGAAATCAGTGTTCACTTTGGTCTCTAGGATGGTTAGAACTGTTAATACCAAAAAGCAACACATACTAATTTAAGCCAGCTTGGTGGTGGGTGCCAGTGGTTGACAGACACTAAGTAATTCAAGAGGTAGTCAACACCATCGTTTTCAAGCTGGTAACACTCACAAGTGTTAAGCCACAGATGTATTAAATATTGTAATAGTTTCTCACAGTACAGTACTTTACCATAACTTCGCAGCTTTGTTCCAAATACGAAATTTAAGAACGATTCATAGGTCAACCTCTCACATTCTAACTGAACAACTATGACACAGATCACACAACCACCACATCTTAAAAGAGGCTGCTGACGACTATGTTAAGACAGAACTTGATGCTCTTCACGAGTTGTTCTTCTCTAAAACAAATCTCATTAAGACATCTAGAAAATTAAAGTCAGTGCAGTTGCACTTGTACACACTTTCCCAAATTGTATAACCAAAGGGGAAATACACATATATATTTTATGATAAACATTTCTTAGAGAAAACAGATAAATTAATTTAAATTAACTTTAAGACTTAATGAGATTTCCCATGTCCTGTATAATTCATCTTACAGTGAATGTTACAAAGTCTATTAACACTTATGGGCTTCTATTCACAAACTAAATACAACTAGCAGTAACTTGGGGCCTCACTGGTGCAAAACAAAACTGAGCCAGAATATTTCAAAATATTGGCATTAAAACATCCAATGTTTGTAGATGGAACGATGTTAAATACTCTGATGTTCCCTGATCTTTTTCCCTATGTTGCACGCCAAGTTTCCAAGTTATAAGCAGGTAAAAAAAAAAAACTTTAAAAAATTTTCAGTTGTAAAAATACATCCAAAGTCTTCCAGTAAAGACTAGAAATGCAGTATAAAAAGGTTTCTACTATCATCTGTCATGTAGCAATGAATAGCTCCCAGGGCTAAGAGACTGGTAAGTGCATCTTTCTTAGGAATTACAACTGTGTTGACATGGGGGTGAGGTCAAGGGGCAACTAATTCACAGTCCTCCTACCCAACCTATTAGTAACCCCTGTAAACTGATGCTTCACACAGACCCTTCTCCTCAGTAGCTAGAAATGGCATTGCACGTTTATTCTATATTCACTCCTTGGCAAGCCAGTGCTGGTTTGTTACGTGCCTAGGGCAGTAATGCTGAAATAAGCTTGGCCTTAGGGCAGCACAGACACAAAAATGGAGATTGGCACCCTTTATACTTTTGCCCAGCATGAATATGCTCATACACCAACCTCTCCTCCTGCTACCCCTTTCTGTCCCGACTTCTGGGGCAAAGCAGCTGTGTCCAAGATTGTTTCTGTGTTTTTTGTGTTTTGCTTAAGTGGAAGGGTGCCCATAAGTCTTCAAACTAAATACATGGTAACTTTAAGGAAATGCTCGGAGACTTTGCTAATAACTAAATGAGATGCTTCATTATTCACAAGTGTTTGTCGGAAACATGTAGTTGTGAATTGCTATCTATAATATAGATTAAAAGGTTCTGTACCAGAGAATTATCAGCCACTGAAAGGCTGGAGCAGCATAAAGGTGTGCTATGCATCAACTATGAGGTAGCCTTTTGCTGTAAACAGAATATTTCACCCATGTGAATGGACACTGTGCTCACATCAGTGATAGATACTCAATATGCAAGGAGTTTGGAATTCTGCATTAGAGCACGGGAAATAAAAATAGGAAAGCTGATATCTGATATTCGGAAATTCTGACCTATGTCAAACTCAGAGGTAGTTATTACTAGCATCAGTACATAATACTTATATAAATGTCTAAGTTATTTGGTTTGTTTTGAGTAAGCAGGACTGTAGACCATTCTGTAAAGAAACAACATTATATGGTATGTTCCCTGAGCAAAGTTCTTTGTCCTGAGTATGTTATGTAATAGTGATAATATTTTTGTATAAAAAATAAACCCCAGCTTTTAACCATAAGACAGGTTTGGTATGTGCTCTTAGTTCAGTCTGGTAAGATGCTTAAAATGTTTTTAAATTGCACCCATAAGGTCCAGTTATAACCTCCCCCCCCTTTTTTTTTTACTTTGATCTCAGCTCTGAACTTTTTATATGTAAACAGGGAATGTCCAATTCTCAAGTCCATAATTTCCTATTTCTATAAGGTCAAGGAACTTTGGTTTGAATTTTCAAAGTGACTTATCATGTTTTGCATTTTTCCTGTTAAACCTGCTTATTATGCCTGCTAAAAATTAAGCAATGCCACTTTGATTTGTCTACATAATTTAAATAAGCTTACAATCCTCACGTAAGGCAAGGAAGTACTTCTCTACAGCTATATACCACATTCAATATCGTCAAAGGTAAGCTTTGCATCACAGCACATGGATATATTTACCATGGAGAGTCTCACAAACACTGTCTCGGAATTCAAGCTGAATTCAAGCTGAGCTATAACAGGCCGTCAGCCCAGCCTGCTGCATTTTCTCCTAATGCTGGCGTGCTGAAGCAGCAGGAACTGCCTGTGTCCCCCAGGGCAGGACAGGTTGGGGAGGGGGCAGAGCCGCTCAGCAGAACAGGTCTCACTGGACTCATGCTATTCTCTTTTTTTGATTATCTGAGCTTACACCAACAGTCTCACACGAAACGTTGTTTATTGCCCATGTTAAAGCAGTATAACGAATTGGTACCTTCTTGGAGATGTTTCAGAAAGTTACCCATAACATCTAGAACGAGGAGGACACCAACATTTTCTTTATTTTTTAATGACTGAAACCTAAAGGGACCGATACTAGGACTGGTCCCCAGCCAGTTTATTATTAACCTAACTGGGGACCAACCTGAGAAGCGTCTCTATCCCCGTTCCTGAATGTCAGCCCTGAACCCGCCGTGCAGGGGACTTCAGCATGAGCAGTGGCGGGAACCTCCATAAAATCAATGCCAGCATGTGAGATCCTCGCAGCTCTCCTGGGAGAGGCTCCGCCCCCTGCCCCAGGCGCGCCACTCTAGTTGACTGTCACCACATGCTGCTCCAGGACAACCATAGGGGCAACTGTGAACATCCACTTACTTTTCCATTCTCAAACCTAGCATTTTTTCTTACCTGTGCTGTTTGGTTTTAGAGACAAGTTAGATAACACTCTAGGGGGAATAGAAACAGCCACCAAAAAAAAAAAAAAAAAAAAAAAAAAAAACAAAAAAAAAAAAAACAAAAAAAAAAAAAAAAAAAAAAAAAAAAAAAAAAAAAACAACCCAAAAACCAAAAACCAAAAAAAAACAAAAACAAAAACAAAACAAAACAAAAAACCACACCGCATGACTGGAGTTTTCCTCCAAGGTCTTCAGTAGTAAACGAGGAGGCCCCCCTGCTCGAAGTGATGGTGCGGACTGACTCTGCCAAGGGAAGCTGCTGTTGCCACAATCCCTCAAAAACTTCACAACATGTGAAAGCTGATAATGAGCTGGTATCAAAATACCACGGAAAACAATCAAGTCACTACATTTGTACATTGCCCTCCCCCTTAATTTTTCTTAGTAGGCATCTAATTTACAATCAAAACATGTGAATTAAAAACACTGAAATATCGGCACAGTAATTACACATTCATTGTCTTTTCTGGAGTTATGGATCCCAGATTCAAAAGAGCTTATGGCAGTCGGAGGCATATGGAGTTAAGGTACTGCCTTCAAAGGGGGCTGGGGTAAGGGAAACCCTCTACAGACGTCAGGAAAGGGAGGCAATCCCAACTTGGGAGGACTGATGACTTAAAACCTTTAGTACCATATGATTGGCAGCTCTGAGATCTGAAGTAACCTTTGGTTCACACAAAAGGTAACAGTCATGTGTTTATTTTCATGTAACATAAAGGGAGTGGTACTTGAAGAAAAATCTCCAGGGATGATCTCTGAAACCATCTAAAATGCTTCATATGGGTTTTCAATTCTTGGGGATGTCCAATTCTGTGAGGGAGGGTGTGTGCTTGTATTTCTATACACACATATATAAAGACAAACCCGCTTTATATATATGTCTGCATTCCTATATAAAATCCTCCTACACACACACAGACTCAGGCTCTCTCCCTCTCACACATGCACATATAGATATACATAGTATTTCATTCTTTGAATCACATAAAACATGACACCCTGCTCAAATGTAATTTGCTTAGTGATTTGTCTGTTTAAAAAAATTCACAGTTCCTCGACAGTAGTTAAAAATCCCAAATCAGCTGCTGCTGTGAAATACTGTCCCCTATACTTGCATGAGGTAGACTTCCCAACTGGGGAAAGAAATCTGTAACATTTAAGAAGGAGGGTTAGGTCTTTTTCCTTTTTTGAACGGAAGGCCCCTTTTTGCTTGGTTCTTCCGGCACTGCAGAGGACTTCGCCAGGGAAGTTTCTTGAGGTGACCTGCCCGGCCATTCTGAGATCTCGAACCTCGCCTCCTGAGGAAACGGCGGTGACGTGCAGCCATGCCCTCCCCCCAGCTCTCGAGGAAAAGTCGAAGTGCATGGCTGTGATTCTGCTTCCTGTCTTCCCTGAGAACTGGCAGGCGGCTGCGCAACAGTCTTATGTGGGCAGTTTGCCACCATGTGCGCGATGCTCTGACAGTAATGGCACTTCTTTGGCTGAGGAGGTAGACTACATTCCTTAGCATGATGATCAAGGCCGCCACAGTTGTAGCATCTGCAACGAGAACAAGAAAAAAGTCTTAGAAGGAGGGAACATGGGACATAAAATACATTATAAATTTTTAAAAATGCCCAAATACACTATCAATGAGATTAGTTAGCCTCTTTGTAACGCACCCTCTTAATGAGTATGTGATGCCTATTTTTAATGCCGATTGCTCTCAAGATGGTCTTTGGCAAAATGTTCTATCAAAGTTATAAAGCTAATTGTGTGTTTTTATTGACACATAATAGTCAATGAAAAACAAGAGTACTAATGCATGAAAGACTAGTCACTTGCTTATAGAAATGACTTTTTTTTTTAGATATGAGAGGTCATTTTAAAAGAACAGTTGTAGTCCACTAGAGGGCAGCCAATGGTCAACAAAAAAATGACCAGCTAGCTTTAAAAAGAAGTCCATTACAAAATAAAGCTGTTGACATAATGTGCACTGGCAATACACTCAGCAACTGAGAAAATTACAGACCAAATTAAATTTTATTAGTTTAACATTTCTTTGGGTGTAAATTATGTTGACGGTGGAAACCAGTTGAACTGGAAGAATTTTTTCCTTTGTACATACTAAGTAATGCAGTGAAATCTGATATAAAGAAGTCAGATGTCTATGGTGAGTGACAGATATCTAGCAAATTATGAGGTAATATTAGAGCAATACAGTAACTATCTGAATCAGAAGAAGCTACAGAAGAAAGCTTCTAAACATTTAGATTGTTAATAAAGGTCGATGCTAGTTCAATTATGGGGACAATCTATTTTCTTTTCCTTCTGTACGAAATTTGTTTTCCTTTAGGGTAAATTCTTCTAAACTGACATGAACATAAATCTATCCTTAATTAACATTTGAATGTACATTGGGGCCATGCATAATACTGTATATTTATAAAGGTTTTTAATCTACTTGTTGAGTATAGAATTTGCTTGTTTTGTCTCCAAATAAAATGTTTTAAGAGCTATTTTAAGTTTATTTTTAAATACACTTATGACTCCATAATTCTTATTAAGCACAAACAAAAGGTCACAACATTTTTTAAAAAGATAGCAAGTAAGTGGTAACTGTGAGCATCAACTTAAGACTATACTGACAATAAAATAATCATAATTAGTTACATTTGTGGGGGGTGAACGAAAAAAATAGCAAGCTTAACAACTTATACTACTATATACTTCAAAGACAAACTAAGTACTACTAACCTACTGAGCACTAGTATTCTATTTTTTGGAACAAGTTATGGAGAGTGTTTTTTGTTTGTTTGGTTTTTATACTTGGCAAATACTAGGATAACTATGGCCTGTTTCTTCAGTTACCAATATTACCTTACAGATTTTAGAATAATGGATTCACAAGATGGGCTTTCATTCTTTGCAATGATTAACAAGTATTTATCCAAGGTAGAAGGAATGCATCATATTTTCAAAAATTTAAGGGAAGAACCAAGAAACTACTTTTTCTGATTATTTCTGGTGCAATTACATACCTTAATATAATAAGTTAATAAAAATATTACAATCCAGCTTCAATATTGTTTCACCCATGTGTTCTAAGAGATAATGCAAAATTAAAGAATCATAATAATTACCAACGAATGACTGAAATTCTGGTCTTCCAAATAACACATTCAAAAATGGTATCTTTGAAAAATATAACCATATTACTTATAATGTTTGCCCACAGTTCTCTTTTCTATGGATAAATTCTATGAATTTAACTAACATATCCTTTGAATGGATATGAATTCTATGAATTCTTAAATTAAATCTGCCCTTCTATAAGATATCTTCTTTTGAATTAAATACACTTCCTTGAGGATAACATCCACTCAGGAGCTAGTTGTGGAGGAGGAGAAAATAGGTTAAAGCCTTCAGTAATAGAACACGCTCTCCTGCAGACACATCAATTTCATCAGTCACTGTGGTATGCACTATGTTATTCAATTCAGGGAACCATTCTGCCCACGCATTTACCAAGAGGCTGATGTCAGGATTCCACTTTTACAAATGGGGTCTTCCATTGTATTCTGTATGTGCATTTACCATTACATTCAGCTTTTAAAAGTTGTTTTTAAGGATACTATATAATTTGGGTTTCCTTGCATTTTGATCTGCTCAGTTAATTCACTCTCCTAGCTTTTCAGATACGTGCTATCATTAGGCCAGACTGTCTTCTACACTGAAAAGATGTGCATTCAGTGTATATGTGCTTAGTCTTAAAAGGGGAGGAGTGGTATTTATTCTCCTCTTCTATTTAATCATTCAGTGTCAATCACTCTTAGTAAGAGGGCAGATCACACCCCATTATGAAACCCCCATCCTTCCCAAGGGACTGACACCAAAATGGAAATGTTCAGCTACCTTTCAGCACACAAATGATACCACACCACACTCACCATACAAGCTCTACCTGGTACTTGTCTCTTTTGTTCACTGTCCACACCTCTCCAAATCAGCTTGCTTTTGTTAGTCTGAATGAATTTTACATTTAATGTGAGCATAAAAATGGCATGTGTACCCTTGTAGGGCTACATGCTTAACATAAAAGACCTAGACTCACAAGCAAAAGACTATATATGAAGAAAACTATAACATACTTCATTATACATTCTGATAGCCAACCATAAAAAGTAAAATCATTCATGGGTATTTTATAAAATGATGAACCAATGGCAAAAAGGATATTTTCTCACATATTAAACATAGAGTAAAATAAAAATGTTGAGATTAATCTTAAAACTTTATCAAGTTCTTATAAAATTATAAATACTTTAATTCTAATGAGCTAGCACATTCTACAAATATTACTTTTACTTAAGATGCTTTTTAAGATGGAAAATAACAATCAAACTGGAGCCAGTTTTTTAAAAGACTATCAAAATAAGATTAAAATTTTTAAAAAATATTTTATTTATTTTTGAGAGCGAGATAGAGACAGCATGAGCAGGGGAGGGTCAGAGAGAGGGCGAGACACAGAATCTAAAGCAGGCTCCAGGCTCTGAGCTAGCTGTCAGCACAGAGCCCAATGTGGGGCTCGAACCCACGAACCGTGAGATCATGACCTGAGCTGAAGTCGGACGCTTAACTGACTGAGCCACCCAGGCGCCCCAAGATTAAAATTTTTAAATGAAACGAGAATGCCAACAATAGATACAGTAGGATAGAAGCACCTAAAATGGCAAAATAAGTGAAAGTAAATCCTTTAGGGCTTTAGAACTATTTTATTACATTATGAAATAAGTAATTAAGTGGATCTTAATAAACTAAGCTCAAAAAACTACATTAGTTAATAAGTTAATCAAAACATATGCAAAGTACTGAGGAGTCCAAAATAAAAATTAAAACTCTGATTCTGGGGGCGCCTGGGTGGCTTAGTCGGTTAAGCGTCCGACTTTCGCTTAGGTCATGATCTCGCAGTTCGTGGGTTCGAGCCCCGCGTCGGGCTCTGTGCTGACTGCCAGTTCGGAGCTTGGAGCCTGTTTCAGTCTGTGACTCCCTCTCTCTCTGACCCTCCCCTGCTCACGCTGTCTCTCTCTCTCCTAGAAATTAAAAAAAAAAAAAAATTAAAAAAAACCCAAAAACCTCTGATTCTGAAATCAGAATTTAGATATGCTATAACCCTTAGAGAAATTCTCATCTTGGGGGTCTAACCACAGAATAACCAAATTATATTTTCAAATGATAATAGTAACAATGGTTAGAACTGAGTCCAACTGAAAACTAGTATATTAGAATACAGACGTTAACTTTTAAATGATACCTCAATGACTTAGACGAAATAATTTATCAATCATATGTTCCCCCTGAATCCCAAAAGTGATAAAAAGTTAGGGAGAGGGGTGACACCACACACAGAGAGCCAGCTTTACCTAAAAGTATAATTTGAAAAATATAACTTAGGCACTTCTAAGTATTTCAAAGTGTTAACTTAATAAGGCTTTAGATGGAGGGGTGTCTGGGTGGCTTAGTTGGTTAAGCATCTGACTCTTGATTTTGGTTCAGGTAATGATCTCATGGTTTGTGAGATGGAACCCAGCATCGAGCTCTGTGCTGACAGCACAGAGCCTGCTTGGGATTCTCTCTCTCCCTCTCTCTCTCTCTCTCTCTGCCCCTTCACTGCTCTCTCCCTCTAAATTAACTAAGTAACTAACTAACTAACACTAACATAATTTATATGGAAAAATAAATCTACATTTCAGGAGGTTTAAAGGGGCATTAAAGATAAGGATACAGTGATATGTAAGCTTCTCAAAAACAAACTAATACTGAAACAACATTAAATACCGTGGTATCAAGGAGAGAGAGTAGAGTGGAAAAAAAAGGTCCAAGGTATAAAGCAGGAAGGAGGAGTGAAAGCAGACAGGAGGACAAAAATCCCAGGAAAAGAAAGATGTGAAAAATGATCAATAAAGTTTCCAAATGGGGAGACCAGAAAAGTAACAGATTGGAAAGAATTCCAGCGCTAATTTGGAGAAAGTATAATTGACTTTTTGAAGAGATTGCTTATCACCGTTTATTCTAATACAGTCCAACTAAAATCCAAAAATGACATTCAAGTCTACAGTTTTCTACATTAATACGACTGAATACTTGATACCTAATCCAATTGTGTACCAATCAAGCCAACACGTGGGAGTGCTCAATGCCAGTCTGATGGTAGGAGGGAGGGATGGGAGAAATGCCATCAAAGAACTCAAGAAAGCTAAAGAAAAGGAACAGATTTAGAATGTAGCTTTTGATGGAAGCAATCTGCCCACCCTGTATCTCCTGAGGGTAAGAGACACAGATTCTTCCAGAAGGCCCCATTTTGTTTTTATATAAGCATCCACACAACTTAATTTATACCTGGGTATAGTTTATTCACTTCACAGGATCTGCCCCAACATACCAAGAGGGGAATTAGAAAACTTTGATGAATCACAGAGTCAGAAAGACCTTTCAATAGTGCACACATTTTCTGACCTCTATTAAAGCAGTTATTCTTTACTGAATCTGTTTCTTGTATT